AAGCTCGACCAAAGGAAGATGAAAGCCTTGATTGAAACCGAGGCAAGTTGCACCCTTCTCAACGCGGATGAAGCGTGGAGACTAGACATCACATACGAGAATGAGAAAAAGGGTGGATGGAGGCTACCAACTCAGGGGCCACAAGAACTGACGGAGTAGTGCGCCAGGTGCCACTCAAGTTTGGAGGATAGACCGGGGTGGCAGATTTTGAGGTTGTATCGTTGGATGACTATTAGGTCACCATTGGCATGGAGTTCATGGTGCGCTAGAAGGCTTTCACAATCCCCTACGCCAATAGATTCTACATCAAAGACGGAGCAAGATCGGCTCCCATGATAAGAGAGCAACCCAAGTCAAATAAGGGGTGTTTTGCAAGGCAAGGACAATTAGAAGGCACAACGATGGTGGAGGGAGGGGATCACTCAAAGACGCGTTGGAGAAGGACAAAAGATGAGGAGTGCGCAATATTGTGGAGACACGAGAGATGGGTCATCCTCGACTTGCCAAGAGGAGCAAGGAAAGGTCACCAAGATCGAGAAGGCTTGACACTCGAAGACGCGATGAAGAAGAATGTGAAGGAGTGTAGCATCATGGGAGCACAACATAAGGCTCGAGAGTGAGCCCGTGCCATTCTTGGCTTGGAGGAAAGCGCAATGAGACCTTGCAAGTAGTGGATAAGGCATGGAAGGCATCTGACAAAGAGCCACGATAAGAGCGTCATATATTGAATGGAGTAGAATGTCACGACTGAGGAACTAGAGTCGAGAAAGGCTGATCGAGGTCGATATAGGCATTTTGTAACCAGGATGTGTGAGGGCGTCATTAGAATATGCCTGGGAGAATGTCACACATGGCGAGTGACATGGCGGGTCATGACCAGGTCAAGCATGTGTGGCGTTATAGATGACCTAGTATCATAGGATGCTCCAATGATTCCCCATCTTAGACGTGCCTAATGGTGCACCTAAAGAGTCACATTATGAGGTGGTATAATGGTGTGTATTATGGGGGAGACTTAATAGGTGTAGTAATGGGGAGGGATCATTATGAGGGGGCATTAATGCCTTGTATGTGGAGAAGCCTATATAAAAAGCTATCTCCCTCACTTGTAACTCATTCTATCATTTTTGTGTGCAATACACTTGACTCGCTATGACACAACTCCTAACAATGGCCAAGTGTAACCAATGAAAGGGACTGCAGTATAGTGTCTCAAGTAATAAATATCGAATCCACGGGTCTCTAGAGTTACTATTACTCAGCTTCAGTTCATTATCTAGCAAAACAGATTAAGATGAAAGAACTAAAACTACTCTAGCAAACTACAGTTAAAGTTAATCTAATTACAGGTTGGGAACTCACTTAGGTATGATTCCCCCTAGCCACTAGCCAGATTAACGATCGATGATTTCTAACTTGTTTCACTTCATTCACAATGCGGAGAATCCTTGACTAGACCTTGAGTCTCGACTAAAGGAACAAGGCCCTCTTGAGTCAATTGCCTAGAGGGACGTATCCTTCTCTAGAACAATCAATCAAGGCGTTCTGAACTAGACTCCCTCTATCGAATGAGGTTCTCAATCGATACAAAGCAGTGAATCAACCCTCGACTAAAGCAATCGATCCACTACTATCAATCTATGGTGCTCTATTGACCTAATCAGGTATTCGCTCTCATAGGATCAAAGTAGAATCAATAATCTCGACTAAAGCAGAATTGAATCGTGAAAACATGCATAGATTGAATATGAACTCAAGATTATCAAGTCAGAGTACTCATACAATCATCCAATCAAACAAACATAGCTAGGGTTCCTCAAAACCTAAGTGAAGGGAAGTTACTCCATAGAGAAGAGAGAGACTGCAGAAATCTGATCTAGATCTTCAATCTCCATCTCCAAGCTTGATTCCCGAGCTCCAATGGCGAAGAAATCCTCCAAAATAGCTCCAAGAATGTTCCCAAGTCGCTCTCTCTCTCTAGGGTTCGTCCCTTGGGTGTTTGGGATCCAAAACCCAGCTCTCCCTCTCCAACAATCGCAAAACAGCTTTTATACCCGCTGAAACTTGCACCCCCTACTTGCACGGCCGTGCAAATTGAGGTTTTGGCCGTGCAGACCCCTTGGGAAACCCACACGGCCGTGCAGAATTTCACACGGCCGTGCACAATTTCCAGCATGCACTCCTAAGCTTCGTTGATCTCGTTTGAGCTCGTTTGACCTCCGATTCAGTCGCCGTTTGATCCCAGACGCTCGTAGTCTCGTCCTCTTTCTTTTCATAACAAGCTTGCATGATTCTTTGTCCATAAAGTGAGGTATAAATCCATTCTTCTTCAGGTCATGCCCGAGTTTCTTCTCCCCAATCGTCAATTGATCTCTGGTTGACTTGAAACTTGCGCCTATACTTCACTTTATGTGCTTGGACCTGAAATGTGAGAAAGGAACACAACCTAGCGTAAAATAGGCCAAAGACAAGATAATTCAAGCTCAAACAATCAAGAAACAAAGGGGAAAACTTGTGCAAATACCGAGTCATCAACACTCTAGAGAGTTTCTCTCGTATTCTTGTGAGTTGAGTGAGTGAGAAGGCTGACTTAGCACCTCAGACGGACTTGAGAGCTAAGGTCGCACGGTCGAGATTTAGGTATGTGACAACACCTAGAGTGATTCGGAACCTAGGGAGTATGGAGAGTCCTCACATCGGATTGAGGGTGAAATTGTAAGCCAATAGGAGGAAATCGACGACCGGACTCTTCCTTCTCCTCTAACAAAGTAGGGACTAGAGGGATCTTGTAGAGTAAGAAGACAACGAGCCATAATGGGTAGGGGACTAAGGGCAACATAAAGAGGAACGACGAGAATCGATGGAGATGAAGTGGCTCGTGGATTTGTGAAGATTTCATGTGGAAAATCATATAAATATAAATCCTTTTGCAGATTTTAAGGCATCGGAGTAGTGGGCAATGTGTAGTTCTTGCCGGAGACAGCTTGGACCCATACGACTATTGACAAGGACGAGCTATTTGTATGAGCAGAGTGAATGTGGTTTTTCCTGGGGAGTGATCTTGGACATGGAGAAATTCAAATTGAAATGATTGAGCGGAGGGAATTTCGGAGGGGAAGGAAAGAAAAAGAATTCAAGAGGGCGGGTTGAGAACTTGAGAAGCATGACAATGTGTCAAAATTGTCCAGGGAAATACGAGAGGAGATGTTGTGGGTGGAAGACTGAGGAATTCGAAATGGAAAAATGTGTCTTCCACCAGCGAATTGAGCAGTTGGATTCGAGCGAAGTGGCAAACCTTAGGATGATGTCGACCGAGAAAACAGTTCCTCAAAGTTTCCAATAGTGTGGGTGAAGACTGTGACTCTGTGAGGAAGAGGAGATGACATGTAAATTAAATTAAGGATAATCAATTTTTTGTTAATTTATTTTGTAGTGGACTTGTTAGTATCTTAACGGTCAAATTAGGATTATTGACTGCCGTGTAAGAGTTTTTAACAAAATATGATAGAGGGTGACCATTGACCAATAGTGAAATATAAATGTGAAGTTAATGACTATCAGTGCACTAAATTCTTTTTAGTGAAAAATGTGAAATAACTTAATAAACTGAGTAACCAAATAAATATTTACCCTTTAATATTTCCTTTCAACATTGATATAAACTCTCTAATTAGGTAATGGGGACAGGGAGAGTAGAGGTTAGGTGCTAATACACAATTTGTTAGTATGGTGTTAATACTAGTTACAGTTAAATTATAGATATAATATGCTTGATGCTTCTATACTATGCATTTTTATCAAACATGTCCCTTTATTATTTTTTAAATGGAGAGGCAAAACTGACATTTCTCCTCCAATTTTTCATAAACAGATCATCTAAACCACGGTTCGACCATGGTTGACGGGTTTTTTATGAAAATTTTAACATAAGGCATGTTTATAATTTTCTAAAGTAGAGGGATATATTTTATGTAAAAATACTAAAAATATTAGAAGGGTATATTGATAAAAAAAATATAATATAAAGACATATTATACCTATAATAGGTATTTCTTTCCAAATTTTTCAGTAAATACTTATAGTGTTTACTATGAGGCCTGAGCTATCTCTTTGATATATGCAAAACAAGCGTTCAATAGTGAATTTGGTGAATCTCCTAATTGTAAGAGGTTTTTTAGTAAATACTTATGGTTTATTAATGTAGTCATTCATTTCATATTTGTAATCTTGTAACAAATGTATATATGAAAGTCAAAATGGGCATGAAAATGGAAATGGTGGGCTTGTGCAATAAATTTTGTTCCTTCATATGTAATTTAAGCATACAATTATAAGTGAATTGCATTGTATAATGAAATTAACATGGATTGGTTTGTATAAATTGCTTTCCCTTTCTACCATTTACTTACACCTTCATCTTAATAGGACAATGATCTGATTCGATCCAATCTTCAGTTTACGGGAATATCACGACTTGTTCAAAGTCATCCCTCCACAATTCAGAGCATAAGCCTCTATCAAGACTACCAAAAATCTTATTTCCCCCGAGGTTTCATACTTGACCAGGCAAATCTCGGTTCCCATAAATTAGATGTCCAGTAACTCATTTTGTTTTCCAAATTCTCACAAATTCTTAGCCGAGTCTATACGTGGCGGGTTCCCTCCCTCTTTTCAACTGTTGTGACAATCGTCTCCCCGCGCATCATAATTATACTACGGTTAATTACCAGCACGACAATGGTTACCAATTAATGTCCTCTCCATAAGCCCCTTCTTAATTACCATACGATTATTCGGCAACAATTGTAATCATTGTATTTAGAGAAAAGAAGCTCCACCACCAATGCAATAGCAAATCATGTTTAGAGAGGGACGCCATTCCCCCGAACACGACTAATTCAAAAGTCAACCCACCTAGCTGGTTTTTCGTCTCCTTTTCATTCCTCTCCTCACATCAAGGACAACCATTTCTCCTTTAATTCGCAACTTAAGATAGATAGTTTGAATCTTCATTTCAATCAACCTAGCTAACCATAGTAATAACCATGGCGCCACCTCCTAATTGGCGGACTTGTAGTTATTTCCTCTTTTCCCTCTTCTCCCTATTACTCTCCTCGCAAGTGTGCACCAGCGCCGGCGACACGCCGGAGATAGTCTACCACGGTGGGGCCCTCCTCACGGGAAACGTCAAACTAGCCCTCGTGTGGTACGGCCGGTTCGGGCGCGTCCAAAAGAACACGGTGAGGGCGTTCGTGAAGTCACTGAACTACGTCGGCCACTACCACTACACGTCGCAGCAGCCGCTGGTGTCGTCGTGGTGGAAGATCGTGGAGTCATATCAGAGCGCCGCCAAGCAGCCGCAGAGGCCCATCACGGTGAAGGTGGTGAGGCAGGTGACGGACACCAGCTACTCCATCGGGAAAGTGATCACCGCGGATTTTCTGAAGCCGCTCATCCAGAAGGCCACCGAGGGGAATTCCGGCATCGTGCCGGTGATATTCACGGCGAGGGACGTTTCGGTGCATGGGTTGTGCATGGGGAAATGCGCCGACCATGGGGTTATTGGTACGTAGCAATATTGCATTATATTCTTCCTTCCACCACTAGGGTTACCTGTTGCATGGTAGACAGTAGTACTGTAATATAGTTAGGGGTGGGCATCGGTACGCGAATTTGGTCTGGAATCAGATCGCGAATAGAGATAGGATCGGACGAAAATTATGTTTGGTTCATTTGGTTCTGTCAAAATTCAGTTTCGGATTTCAGTCCATTTTTTTTGTTCATGCTTAGAATAATTCATAGGACCAAAACCAAATTGAAATATATTCGATCTGATCCGATTCATTCTGAATATTCGATTAAGTTTGGTGTGAACCGCAGATCATTGACTACACCTAAGTATAGCATATATGTGGACTCGGAGTGGCAGCGGGGTCGGAATTTTGAATCTGAATGTATCCTCTTTCCCATAATGTAATAAATAAATATTTATTATTAAATAAATATAATTGAGTTGTAGTACAGTGATAGAACACTTTTAAACAATTTCAAGATGTTGGGTTTAATTTCCTGACATAAGCGTAGCCACATAAGGACATAATTTTTTCCTCAAACTTTATGTGAATCTTGTGATAATGCGACTAATGAGGCTGACTCCGCTACGTTAATGCAGACCAACAACCGTACATCATCGTGGGGAATCCGCAGACAGAATGCCCTGAGGAATGCGCTTGGCCGTTTGCAGGAGGACCGAACTTGATCCCACCCAGCGGTGATATCGGTGCGGACGCCATGGTCATTGGGTTCGCCCAAGGATTGGTCGACACAATGACCAACCCACTGGAGACCGGGTTTTTCGAAGACAGCCTCAGGAAGCCACTAGAGGCTTCATCGGCTTGCATGGGTATTTTTGGGAGCGGGGCAGTACCCCGGGAGCAACCCGGGTAAATTGCTCAAGGATCCGATCACCGGCAAGAGCTTCAATGCCTATGGCTCCAAGGGGAAGCGGTTTTTGGTCCCTGCGGTATGGAACCCGGTCACGAATGCTTGTTGGACCTTGATGTGAAATTAAATCAGCACACATATAGATATTACATCCATCTTTTATTATTACCCAATCTTTAATTGATCTCTTGTTAATTCTGAACCTGATTTTTTCTTTCTTCTCGATCTCGCTCTTTGTTGTTGTTGTATTTTCATCATCTTAATTATTTCCGTCCTGTAGCTGCGTATATAGCCTGACTCGAGTTTTGATTTCTTTTATAGACATCGATTTGTACTGTGGGTGATCTTGATTGTTTAATTTTGATAGAGATCTATGTTGATTCTTTCAAATTCAAACCTTGATAGAGGTCATTTGGATGAAAGAAATTTGCACATTTGTGTATATGCAGAATTTGGGAACTTTCACAAAAAAAAAAAAGAATTTGGGAACCCACGAGTAATTTCACCCTTCAGTTTTTATTCTGAAAAGACTATGTCATCGAGATCAATTTGTTATGATTAGTTACTTATCATTTTCATTTTCCGCCTTCACCAATATCAACGTAATTGATGTACACTCGCTAGTGTCCACAATTGGACGCAAGCTCGATCATATTTACCTCTAATCAAATGTGCATGCATCAAATGGTAAAGTTAGACGTATAATGTGCACCATTATTACATTATTTTTTACTCAAAACTCATTAATCCTAATTGAACTGTTAACCAATCAACATTTGAATGTCTGATTTTACCCCTAAAAATTTTAGTTAACCACCACCAGTTGCATTTATTAAAAATTTGTCATCTATAGAAACTACCTCATTTCCACCTTAGGTTATTTCTTCTTCTACTTATGTAATCTTGCTCCATTTGGATCCCCCTCTCATGGCTTATTCATCAAACATTTTTTTAATTAGTTTATTAAGATTGCAAAATGGGACAGACTCAAACAAAAAAAAAAATACAAGTAGATAGTTACAAGGGTTATAAGACCCAATTAAAAGGCCCAACAGAAATCTTGCTACTCAATAGGGCCCAGACCAAAACATTACTGTCTAAGCCCCACAAACACTAGCCGTCGTCTGCTTCCCTCTAAATTCCTCCACTATCGCAGTCGAATCCTCCATCGCTGCTTGGCCGCGCTTGCAACGCTGGTCCCCACAAGTCACCACCACCCCGCACCAAGTATGGAAATGGAACTAATTCCACCAAACTTGGATGGCGGGATGAGGAATGAAATCTTCCAATCAAACCACCCCGAGCCAGTCGCCATTTGCCTTTCGTCATCCAAACCCAGAGGAAACCATCAAAATGAGATTGGTCGACCAGCGAAGGACCAGAGGGATGAAATCTTCTGCCTTCAAGCTCTCCATACCGTGTCCAACGCTAAGGGCTGCAACTCTGAATCACCAAGATCTGCAAGGTGAAACAATGGTTTAAACAAGGAAAGAAGAGGAGAAAATGAACCAGATTTGTGATAGATCTAGCCTCCATTTGCAACAAAGATCGGACACTTCTCCACATCCGAATCAACATATAGGAGGACAGAAAATCAACCCATAGTGGGGAGGAAGAGACCCTGTCAGGGTGAAGGAGAAATTGATTAAAATGAAAAAACCAAAGCCAGAACAAGGCTGTAGAAAATAGAAAGAGGGGACAATGAAAGGGAGAAAACAAAAATGAAAATAAGGGGGCAGATGGCTGTCATCGATTATTGGAAAAGACGTCGGTAACAACTCCCACGACTACCTGGAATTGGACCCTTAGAGAAAAGACAGATGAAAAGGTTTTAGAGAAAGAAGGAGTTGTCTTACGACATCCATATTTATTGGGAAACTCATTGATGAGCATCTCCTTCGATGAAATCTCCCGTTCACTTTCATACAAAAAGTAGAAGTTTTTTATAGGCAATCAAAAATTATAATAAGCTCAAGGTGGGGAGATCAACACACACTCCACAAAAAAGTTTACAAATACAAAAGCACACTATATATATTAGTTCACATTGTTACTAAGGCCTTGTTTGGTATTTGCAATTTTTAGAATTGATGTATTGTATGAATGCATGAATTATAACTTAATGTATTGGTTAAATGATTGCATCTTAAGATTACAATTTTAGGTAGTTGTGATTGTATTTCTAGGAACAAAGTAGGAAACCCACTTTTTGAATGAAAATTCATATGTACCCTTCCTTTTAGATATAAAAGTCAAAACTTATAAAAGTTGATAAGGACATTAAGAGAATAAAAGCTCATTACAATCTCAACAAAATTACCAAATAGTTAAGATTTTAAATCATTCGTGCTGAATGTTTTCAAATGTCACATCAACAATTAAATACATGCATTGTGTTTTATTTTGCAACAAAAAAGTGATACACGAAAAAACTAACATCAACATTTTAACAAGTATCGGAAATACACTATATACCACCTAAATCTAGCTGCATAATTGCATATTAACCTGAGCTAGTTCAAATATGCTCTGAATTCTTGCCACCACTCTAGCCAGATCAATACTAGAACCACCATGTAGCATACTTTATCTTTCACTCCACAAAACACGTATTGTCAAGTTCTATATCAATCTCCCCTACTTAGAATAGAACATGACTTCTTCATTATAAATTTGTACAACCCAAGCAAAATACTATTTGAACGCCAAACATGGTTTGCACATCTGTTTCAGCAACAACATGCACCCTTCCGGAACTTCAATAGAGTAGGAACACGGGAAAAACATATGAGATATGGTCTCAGAGTCCACTCCACATAGCTTACAATTATCATTTAAAACTTTGCACCGATACTTGAGTCTCACCTTGGTGATAATCTTATCTTTCGTTAATAGTCAAATGACAAAGTTGTGTCTAGGCAACAAATAAGTTGTCCATATCAAAAAATACGAAGGCACATTAGAGTATGTAGCCTTGATATCAGTCAAAACCATTTTGACATATTCTCCCAAATTGGGTCAGTTTGAAATTATCATCTCACATGTGAATCTATGAAATCGAGAAAGGTTAGTCGTGTTTTTCCTCGAGGACACAACTTGGTCTATAATGGCTATAGTTTTTTAGTGACGGTGACCCCTCTCTCAGATCGTTGGTATGGAATTTTGAGGCATCAAAATTATTCTGTCCGATTAGGGTACCATTTGGCTGCTAAGTTGCATCAAAGTCGTGAACCCCCTTATAAGGCCGACGTTTCTTTGATGGATAGGGGTTTATGGTCGATGGTCTTGACTTTACCCATCCCACCCAAGTTGAGTTACTTTTTTGTGGCAACTTCTTCATGGGGTTCTGCCCACGGGAGAGGCCCTGGCAACCAAGGGTTGCGGGCCTAGTGCATTGTCCGGTTGTGAGGTGGGGACTGAGTCGTTGGAGCATATCTTTTTATAATATGGTGTTGCGCGTGGGATTTGAGAAAGATTTGAGTTGGGGGTTGTCTGTATTCTTTTTCTCAGATCAATATTGTCTTGTTTTGACGCAAGTTCAGGGAGCATCATGGAGTGATGAGAGAGCAGCTCATGCGTATGATTGTCTTGTTCTGCCACACTTGGAAGTCTCGCAATTGGGCGGTGTTCGAGTTTACTCAATACTCTTTACCTATTTTGATTAGATAGTTTTCTTTGCAGGTGGGTGAGTGGCAAGGACTACTACAATACCGCTCAGATCTAATCAGCTGACATGCTAGTAGTTCAATATTAGGGGGAATGGTCTCGGGTTGTTCAATGTGGTCTCATAACGCTAGGGGATTGGATTTTGCAATTTGTTAGAGGATTGACTATGGCAGTAGAGGGTCGTTTGTTTGATGGCGTGGTGGACCTTTCCTTTTGGAACTTTTGGTGTTAAAAGAGGTTGTTTGGTGGTGTGTGATACATGGGGTTACGAGGGTGGTGTTTAAGGGTGATGTAAAGGACGTGCAAGACAAATTACGTGATGGAGTTGTCTTACATGCGCGTGGTGTGGCCATTTTAGCCGACACAGCAGTGCTTGGAGGGTATTTTGAAGTGTTATTAAGACCGGACCGAGCCGGTCGGCCGGACCGCTAAAGCCGCCACCCGGTCGCAAAACCGTCTCGGGTGAGTCAATTAGCCGCTACGATTTTATGGAGCGACCAGTGAGCGACCGAGACGGTTAACCACTCGAGCTGCTTGAACTGGTCGCTCGGTTTTCCCCTTCCGACCGTTCTACTTAATAAAAAATTTTGAAAAAGGAAATCGAAAATTGAAAACCAAAGGAAAAATCGTGGGGATGGGAAAGAAACCCTAACTCTAATTCAGTTTTCGTCTTTGACTCTTCGTGAACAGAGGGAGAAGAGCAGCGCCAGACCTTGCCGCCTTCAACACTTCCCATCCTGGCTTCCTGTCGGCATCGTCGCCATCCCCAGTCAGCGTTGCAGCTCCCAGCTCGCCATCACCAGTCACCGTCCCCGTCCCCTCTTCCACTTGCAACTCCTCCGCTCTGTCATCACTTCCTGTCCCAGGGCTTCCCGTCGCCATCCCCAATCCATGTAGCCGCTCCCGGCTCTCCACTGGCATATTTTGAAATTGTTAAGATTTAAGAGTGTAATTTACTAATTTAATCATAGTTTGCCATGATTAAGAGGTGCCCACTATTTATACTGATTGTTTATTAGGTACCGGTTTTCGAATGGTTTGTAAACAATGTAATGTCGGTTGGACCGCTAAAGATCGAGCCATTCACATTATAGGGTCATACTCCGGTTCGTTTTTGACAACATTTGTATTTTTCAAAGGCTTGATGTCTACTTCATTGGTCGAGATAACAACAGGGCTGCTCATTTGGTGGTGAAAAGACCATTTCGCTATTCCTAAGTTAATTGGTTTCAATTTCACATCTTCGTTCAGGGCGTTGTTTTGACTCTTTGATTTTTTATTTCTTGGTGATTGAAGTTATGTTACGATAATAATAAAAAATAGCTCCTTCTATTTTGGAAATTATTTTGTTTGTAGTATAGTCAATTTGAACCGCTTCATCGGGTATTACTCAATCTAATCGGCTGAAGGGGAGAGTATTACCCGACCTGCAGTAACGTGGGGCGGGGCGGGGCATGGATATCTACTTTTGACTATGGATGGCATTAGAACCCGAATCCGTGGTACCCTACCCGACCAAATTCGGTCAACGCTGGTAAAACCCGCTTTGACGGATTGCAGGCCAGGTTCGGGTTTAAACCCGTTATACTTTTTTGGGTTGGGTTTGGGTTTAACTATATCCAATCCGTAGATACCCGCACCCAAGTCCATACCCCCAACGACCCACATAACTCTTAACTAATTAACTATAAGTTCTAAACTAATTTCTCAAACATTCAATTAATCATATTGTTTGTGGATGTTTATCTTTAATATTGAACAATGAGTTTGAATAGTTTGTGAGTTAGCGCGTATGTAGTGGACAATAGTAGTGAAAACTAGTGTAATTGCATCTTTGTACATGAACCCATGGGTACCCATGAACCCGCGAAT